GCTGGTCCAGGAGCATGAGCTAACAGGCGGGCCTGGGCCTGGTTCCTGCTCTCTGTGGCCCCCTGTTGGTGACAGCTGGCGTTCCGCGTGTCAGGACATGACTCACGTCTGCTATGACCACAGGAGCCCTGGTGGCACTGTCTACTAAGTGTTGGGCTGCTTACCACAAGGGCCGGGTTTAAAACCCACTCGCTGCTCCCCAGGGAGAGAGAGGAGGCTGTTTGCTCCAAGAAAGATGTGCAGCCTCAGACACCCTAAACAAGGTCTCAGAGTCGGAATTAGCTTGTGGGTAGTAGGTGGGATTAGAAGTTTCCTTCCTAAGTGGGATTCGTATAATTTAGTCATCTTCAGTGAGGTCTTATTCGAAGAAGAAACACAGCCCGGACTGTAATCTCTTAAGTTGCTTGGAGCTGTGCTGCCTGTGTAAGATCTGAAAGGTGCGGTTCATCCAAGAGTCAGGTTTACTGATAGTAACGACTCAGGCATAGTGAATTCATGATACACATTTACATCGTCACACTGTCATTTGTTAGGGCTCTTTTTATTTATAAATGTTATCTGCTGCTGAGACTCCGGTGTATGAGCAGATTCTCCAAACCACTCTGTACCTTTAAGTGAGTCTTCTGTATTCTAATACTTACAACCCAGAGTCACCTGAGAGCCTGGCCTGGCACGTGTGTTTGGGGAAGACCAGGGTACTGTGCAGTGCGGCCCAGATCCTGGGGATGGAAAGTATTTTGGTCTACACTCACTGACCATAGATCACGTCTCACTACCGTGGCTTTGTGTATATTCATTATTTTTCTTCCTAGACTTCCCTTCTATATTAAATGCCTTGTCATACATAAATATTTTATTTCAAAACTAATGTCGTTTCCCCCAAATGCTCAGCTCAACTCCCCTCACCACCCATGTCTTTGTTTTTAGTCTCAGGGGCTTCTAAAATGTTACTCAAAGCCTCTGTTCCTGTCACTCTGAGCAATACTGGTTCTCTTACCCACACCAGACACTGTAAGCACTGGAGGTTCCAACATCCCTGACTCTGTTCCTGAGGCCTGGGTCCCTTTGATCAGGTGGAAAGAAGAGAAAGCTGACTTACTTTTCCCGGAACAACCTGGAGTTACTTAGGAATTCTTCCTGATACTGAAGGAAGGGGAAGTTTTTAAATGTTTTTTTAAGTTTGAAGTACCCAAATGAGAAGGCCTGGTCACTGTTCTCTGAATGAAGTCACTGAATGACCACCACAGTCTGGTGTTCAGTTCTCTGAATGACCACCACAGTCTGGTGTTCAGTTCTCTGAATGAAGTCACTGAATGACCACCACAGTCTGGTGTTCAGTCTCTTCAAGTCAGTCCGCCCGGCAGGGAACAGACCGACTGCTGTTTATTGGCTCCAGGTCTCTGCACCAGAAACAGGCAAAGGAGACCAAACGGAGAAAGAAAACGCAGCTCAGAAAGAGCCCGCGCGCGTTTGGAAGGGATGAAGCGTCTCTTTTGCTGTTTACTCTGAGTTTTGAAAGAATAGCGGAGGAAAGAAGTTAGATCTTGCTACTCCCAGAGCTCGGCTTAGAGTGCAATCAGACACACTGGATGTGATTATGCAAATGTGTGCATACGTGGGTTTCTATGAATAGAGCATGCACATCCACCTCAGTGCTCAAGGTTAAACCAGCGTAAGGGCGTGCTATGCCAGCCACGCAGTGGCTTCACCTGAGCAGCAGGCTGCAGAATGTGAGGCTTCGCTGCCCATCGCTCATCGTTGCACCCGAAGGGATCTGAATCTTTGGACTTCCACTCACTCCCCTTCCATTGGTAAAGGCACCAGCCTGGCTCAGAGAAGTAACTGGGAGGTGGGGGCTAGGGGCATGGAGGGAGGAGTGAGAGGGGCTAGTTTGAGGAGATGAATGTGGGGTGGTTGTAACTTCTCTTCATCTGTTGTCCCGAGGGACACTTTTTCAGCTAGTTGGATGTCTATTTTTAAGGACACTTCACCTGAGCTGTGTGATATTTGTAAGCATTTAGAGGCCTGCTGAAAGGAAGGAAGCAAATGTTTGGGGGGGCTGTGGGGAGGCGGGGAGAGGGGATTGCGAAAGAGGATGTGCTTGCTCCTCCTTTTAAAAGTAGAAACAGAACTTGGAACATATTCCCGAACGCTCTGGGTCCAGAAGTCTGCTGCTGACCAGCATGCTGAGATTCGTGGTCTGTGGGGGTGTGGGTTTCTTTTCCGTGGGAACACAGGTCCAGTACATGTGGGTTATGAGCAGGACTCAGGTGTGCTCACAAGTTGCTGAGCAGTGCATCCCCTGGGGCAGAGCATACAATAGCCACCGTCATTTCTTTATTCACGGGGTCTATGAAGAGCACCCATTGAAGGGGGTCGTTGTCACGTTAAGGAGCTAGGGGTGTCATGTCAGGCTTAGGAAGACCCTAAAAATATCATTTTGGTATCTTACTTAACTGAGAGTGGATTTAATGTCCAGAGATGAACTCACTGTGTTCCAGATGCTCGGTAGACAGTCAGTTCAGGTCTGCAAGGGTACGCTGACCTCCCAGATTGTCCAAAGCCCTGTGACAGGATACACAGTCGTCTGGGATCACCATTTAAAGGTCTGGGAACACGTTGCTCACTGTTGGGCAAGTTGGGCAACGCCTCGTGGGAGGAGAAAAGCAGGCTTGTGTGAGTGTGAGGTGTGATGCAGGAAGTTACCTCGCTGAGTCCAGCAGGCGCTCACGGGCTGGCCGTTCCTCTTGACTAAAGGCTTATTTTTTGGTGGGTCGGATCGGACAGTTTTGAGTAGCACAAGTGAAAGTTTACAGCTTTCAGAAAGAAGGCCTTGGGCTGTCCTTAACCTGAATCTGAAAAGGTTTTCCTAATAACCAACCCCCTTCGGGAACACGGCAGTCAGTGACTGCCATGCAGTGGACGCATCGTCTTCTTCTGTAGCACTTTCAGGCGGAGGTGAGATTTCACCATGAAACACCACGTGTGCAGTGTGAGCTTTTCCCTGTAAACCGGGCCTTCCAAGCTGGTACTTCCCGCATCACTCATAGCCGAGGAAACAAAACCAGAACAGATCCAAACCAGTAGAATGTGGGTGTATGCCCGACATCATAGCCAAAGCTCTTGACCAGCAGGGTCAGAAACAATGGTTCCCATCTCAAAAACGGCAGCCAACCAAGCCGTTTTAAAGACCTGTCTCTCTCACAGTCCTTGCTATAGTGGAGTCTCCTACATGGGTTCCTTAAAGAGCTCCCTGATACCTCGTGGGAATCTCCCATCCCGGGACATCGGCAGACATTGTTCTGCCCAACTCTTGTTTGAGGACACACCCACATTTTACAAATTCTCATCCGTTCCACGATTTGGTCCCGTGGGCAACGGCTGAACCAATTTGAAGTCCTGCTACAGACATTCTTTCTGGTGGTTTTGTTCATCTGATCTAGGAAGCCACGCGGTTCCGGGCGCTCCCTGGTCTCCCCTGGTGGTTTGCAGAGTCCTTGAATGTTGCATTGTGTTCTTGTAGGGGAAACGGAACGGAGGCTTCAGACAGTGCTTCTTCGGGAACCAGAGACACTGCAAGTTGACAAAGCTGTGTCCGGCCACGGGCTACACGTTCAGGCTGGCTGCGCGGAACGACATCGGCACCAGGTAGGATGCCTCCCTATGCTCTCGCTGTGATCCTGGGCCTTCTCTCAGGGTGCTGGAGGGTTCGTGGACACCCGGTGCCTCCACGAACAACTAGAGATGTTCCCAAGGGGCACAGTGCCTGACTCCTCTGCAGTCGTTCACGCCGCTCCCCGGGGACCAAGAGCAGGAAGATGAAGGAATCGGTACAGATTCTCAGAGCAAAGTCCTGCCTCCCTCCTGGGATGCCCTTATGTCAACACGGGCCTTTCCCTTCGTGGGTCCCCTGAGCAAGCTCCTCCTTCAACAGATGCTTTCAATGACGCCCATGTGTTTCCTGAGACAGAGACCTGGGTGGTGGGCCAGCCACTGGTGTCAAGTCAGGGCAGGTGCCGCAAGATCCGAGAACCAGGAGAGGGCCCGCGGGCCTCCCAGCTGCAGGAGAAGGCGAGACCAGGTGGACACCGGGGTGGCACCGATGGGTTGAAAATGCTTTGAGAAGACTGTGCTCCCATGTCACTTGTTGGGCGACATTCTCGTTCGAAGGGGAAGGGTTTACTCTCAACGATGCTCGTCATAAACCTCCTTAAATCGGTGGTCCCCAGCCTTTCCTCTGGCCTGAAGGTGGTCTCTTGCACATCACAGGTTGTTGCAGGTCCCCCGCCCTGTCCACAGCAGTCCTTATGATTTGAGAATCCGCTGGTCGAAAAGGCCTCTGATGAAAGGCTGCGGTGGCTGCGGAGTGGGGATTACCCACAAACTTCAAAAGCAGGATCGTCTGTGGTTAGCGTTCATCTCACCTCGAAGCAGGGTTATCTCTACCCTCATCGGTGTGGGGTCAGAAGCTTCGTGCTGTGCCAGGTTTTCTGCCGGTTGGATCTGGGGAAGGACGTAAATTCTGGAGGACACCGTGCCCTGTGATGCGGTGTGCTTTCCCAGACTGGGCTTTTCTAGCCGCCGAGCCCGGGAGGGGGTGACAGCGGGCAAATTGCACGTTGTGGTCAGGAGTGCCAGCCAAAGGCGTCTTGCCCACCGTTGTTCACGGATCCTGCCCTGGCCCAGCTGCCAACCCCAAGTCGAGCAGCTTGTCGGCTTATCCTGTCTCCTCGTAGGACTCCCGAGACAGCCCTGGGTAATGCCTTCAAGTACCGTATGCCTAACACTCTTTCTCCCTCCGCAGTGGTTACAGCCAAGAGGTCGTGTGCTACACGTTAGGGAACATTCCGCAGATGCCGTCTGCCCCGAGACTTGTCCGAGCGGGAGTCACCTGGGTCACGCTGCAGTGGAGTAAACCAGAAGGCTGTTCACCCGAGGAAGTGGTTACCTACACCTTGGACATTCAGGAAGACGAGAATGTAAGTTCTGCTGGTGCGCTCCCCTTGCGTGAATGAGGCCGTGTTGTCACAGCTGCCGAGCACCAAGAAAGCAGACGGGCAAAGGATTAGAGACCACACTTTGCCTGTCTACCAATATCTCTCCTCTGTACAGTCTTTCTCCACCTCCTTGAAGTTGGGGAAGCAGACGCCCCTGGTGTCTTTGCTCCCATGACACTCGACTTTTTTCTGCCGGCTTCCATCGTGTGCCCACGGACAAATAAAACTCACAGGCAACACGCATTGTTCTTTATTAGGGAAGCCAGCAGGTTATCACAAGCCAGGATCAGAAAACGTAAAGGATACCCGGGCACACCTCTCCTTAGCCAGCAGCCAAGTCTCTCTTTCTGGGCCTCAGGCACCCAGCCCTGGGGTTCCTTGACCTCTGATGCCATGGGCCAAGAAGCCCCCTCAGCGCTCTGCCTCCCAGTCTCCTCGTCTTGGGGCTGTGCTTCTCTCTGCTCTGTCTCAGGATCGCTTTGACGTGGCCTCCCCGCCTGGCACAGCCCCTGCTGCTGCCTCCACTTCAGACAGTGATTCCGAGCCTGCTCCCCCGGTGGCCCTTCTCCCTGGATGCCCCTGGGAAGGCTCTTTTCTCAGCCTCTACCCTGATACTCTCATACACAGAGGAAAGGCGGGGAGGTTGTCTTTCCGCTGACCCGAACCCCCAAGGAAACAAAGGGTGGTGACTCGGTAGACCCCCTCTGGTCAGATGGAGACTTGGAATGCCTCCTACCCTGACCCTGGCCAGTAGCATCTAACAGGAAGCTCCCTCTGAAACGGGGGTGGAGGCTAGGATTTACAACTCATTGCTAAAGGGATCGTGGGTAGAAGAGCCATATTCAGAAGTTACACTCCATCCTTGACCCAACATAGAATCAACAACATTTCAGAAACTCATCTCTCAAAAGAACATCCAGACATCTG